TCTGACCTCCAGTGTCCCCAGGTGAAATTGAGGGGGAGGTGGTAAGGCCAACAGGCCTCTGGGGCAGAGACAACAATATTGCATTATAATCATCAAACACGCTAGGAGACAAGATCTTAATGATTCCAGCCACTAAGAAGCGATAATTATGTGACCTGATAGAGGTGCTAATTATCGCTAGATGGCAATTGTATCGCAATACATAATTGTACCAAATCAACACGGGTTACACTGATATGTTGTTATATATCAAATATGTTTGCATTTTTTAAAGATCAACAGTTGCCAAAGTTCTCAGGAGCCCTGTGTTTTTGGGAACGGTTTCAGAGGCCACAATGCAGGAACATCGACGGGAGGTGGACAGGCAGTGCCCGACCTCCCCATTAAAAGAAGTTTGAATGCCGCTGCACTGAGCAACCTCGGAGGCCTGTGCCAGCCCTGACAGTCTGACTCCACGGCCCTCCCCGGAAACCGAAGCGGGAGGAAAACGCACTGTGGGGGCACAACCCTGACGCCGGCAGGGCAGGCGCCAGGCCCCGTGGACACAAAGTCTGCACATGCGTGTCCCACGCACCCCGCGCTGACCCGCACCACTCGTGCATGCTCGTGAGATCCCAGGAACCACGATGCCAACCCTTCTGAGAACTCCTCGGAGCGCCCGGGGTTCCTACCAAAGTCTCGGGGTTGGGGGACATCTCAGAAACGGCCCCCTCCCTGACACTTCACAGGACAGCAAGTCCCCCTCGCGGCACTGCTGATTGCCGGGCCGGGCTGACAGCTGTCCCCGTGAGCCAGCAGCCGGAGCGTTAACTCAGAAGGTCCGTGAGAAGTCTCCGTTCCTGCCAAACCTCCCATTAGCTCTCCTGAACCCGCCTCTCCTTCCTTTCTTCTAGGCCCCTTCCTTCACGAACTTACTTTCCTATTCTCAACACTCTCCCCACGCCCCGGCTTCTGCAAACCTCGAGACTCCTCTAAATGCTAATTCTGGAGCTGGAGAACAGCCTGAAATAAACCCGTCATCCCCTTATTAAGATCCAGAGTCTGACCCAGGAGGTGTGTTCAGGTGTTTTCCTTGTTGCAAGGCTGTAAACCTGGGCAAGGTTAACACCAAGGCCCCCTGGGAAGATTCATCATGGGAGCCTGAACAAATCAGGAGTGATCTCACCACGGCGTGCTCGTTCGGATGCTGCAAGTGCCGCACCCAGGGACGCGGTACTTACTTCCACACTGCCTTTATGCCTAATGCTCACGGGCGGGGTGAGGGGGGTGAAAAGGGAGAGGGAGAGGTGGAGGGGGCAATGCTGAGAAGAGGATGGGGGGGTGAGACAGAGGTGGAGACACGGATAAGAAAAAAAGCAGAGTGGAAGCAGAGAGCAAGAGGCATGGAACGAGTATGTTGTTTTGATGTTGCTAGAGAAAAAAATGGCATGCACTATTTCTTCATCAAAGCTTTAATTTTGCTAATAAAAAGCTAAATGCTTTTGCCGAGGATAAAGCATCAACAGGCAAAACCGCAAACATAGGCACTGAGGTGGGACGTGTACATGAGCGAGCAGAGAGGAGGGCCTGACGCCATGGAAACGCGTGGGGCTTGGCGTCGACATTCGAGTGCATGTGCAGAGAAAAGGGATCCCTGACTGAGCAGTGACTTCTAAGATCCTGCACAGTGGAGACAGTCGGAAAAGAGGCCTCGAACTCCAAGCTCATTGTGCCTGCTGGAGCTCAGGGAGGGAGGAGAAGAGAGGTGCCCCTGGTCATCTCCCTCTTGCTGCCTCCCATCCACCCACCCTCTGGCTTCTCTTGTCGTAGCTACCTGACGGAGTCCAACCTCAGATTCCGGAGCCCTGCCATGCTCACTGTCACAAGAACACTGACCGTCCCCAAGGTCATAGACGTGTCCTTCTGTCTTTGGACCTGGGGATGCTCTCCTTTGGTGATGCAATTGCAGAGGTCCGCTCCCACAGCCAACATTGACACTGAGAAGCAGGCGTCAAGGCCCACACGGTCACCAGCTACCAGGGCTGTGCCTTCAGGAGCCAGAGGTTCACAGACAGGCTCCCACACAGCAGTGCCAGGTGGTGAGGGTTTGATTTTTAGACAGAAACTGACGTCCTGCATTTAGGCTCAGCCGACCTGAACTCAATTGGGATCCCAACTGGCACTGCACATCAGGCCTTAGCTGTGCATGAAGACAACAGAAAGCGACCAGAGAATTCCACAGCCCTCTTCTCCCGTACAGCAACCCCAGACTAGGGGGTGATGCCATCGTTCCCAGCACCCCCCCCCCACCCCGATGCGATGCTCTGGTGAGGCTGGAGGCAACCGCCTGGTGTGCTGTTGCGGCTCCTCCCCAAAGCCAAGAAGACTCCGCTGTTTCGACACAACTAGGACCCGAGTGTTGCTCTGCCACACGTGGGAGCTGGCACTGGCATGAAACCTATCTCCTCTCCTGTCCTGAGGGGTTGTGGCTCTCCAGACCCACTTCACAACACCTTTCTGCCCTCAGCGTCCTTCCCTGTTCTGAGCCCACAGGGGTGACACCAGTGCAGGGGGAGTGAAGACCAGTTGTGCAAGGAGGGCACTATCTCTATGGAAGGCCCATGCAAGTATTGGGGGGGAGGGGTCATCTGAGACACTGAATGCGCGCCAGCTCACGGATGTGGTCGAATCCACACCAGTGAGTCTCGACAGGAGGAGGTTCCGACCTCCCAGGGCACGTTTAGCAGAGGCCAGAGACCACTGTGTTCACGACAATGGACATCTGGCGAGTCACCACCAGGGATGCGGCTGAACACCCGCAGAGGCGCAGCGCGGGCCTCAGCCACGAAGGACGATGCCGTGCAAAAGGCAGGAGCACCGAGGCGGAACGTTAAGGCTGAGTGTGTGTTTAGTGGTAGGAGGAACGGGAACCTCTCTTCCAGCAACCGTCTAAGGTCACAAAGCACCGAAGACCCGGACAAGGGTCTGTACGGACAGCTCAGCGGAATCAGCAGACAACCGTCTGCATCCTCCTGGGACAGCAGGCCGGCTTCACGCACAGAGGGCAGCCGGCCCGCGGGCCCCTGGCGGTCTGTTGGCCGAGTGAGAGCGACTGGGAGGGCGAAGGTTAAGATTACTGAGTCTCGGCTTGGGACGCTGGATCCAGGTAGTAACGGGCTGACACCGCAGGTGGACATTAGAAATCATTCACTCACGTAAAGGTTTAGTCCATCACTGCTCAGTTCAGGCTTCTGATTGTGCTGGTGACAGTAACACAGAGAGCAGCAAAGACGACCCTTTCCTGCGAGGTCTGCGGTCGGCTGGGAGGGAAGGGTGGCAATTCCAACGCAGTGTAAGCGACGTGGAGATGGGAGGGCCCGGGGCGGGGCAGCCTAGAGGGACGGTGACCCTGGCCTTGGCAGCCGCAGAAATGACAAGCCTGTCAAACCTCAGGGGGAATGACGCCCAAGCTGAGCTTGGGCAGAGGGAGAGCGGGCGTTGGAAACCCGTGCAGGTTTCTCCAGCCCCACGCACCATGTTTCAGATGGAAACTGTAACTGGCATGTGACTCCTTTCACATTTTTGCACACAGTAGATACATTGTAAACCAGGATACCCAGCTCCGAGCTCGTGGCTGACAGCCATGTTTCACTTCCCATGGAATCCGCTGCCCAGCCCGGGCCGGGGTGCAGGGGAAACCCACTGTCCCACAGCTGGGCATCCCCCGGCTGGCCCACCCGGCTCTTCTCCGCACCTGTCCTTCCTGCAGTCCAAGAACCCCCTCACCTCGCTGCCCCAAACACCTGGAGTCACAGTGGGAGCAACAGAGGGAGCAGGTGCACGGTGAGAACCCAGAGGTCAAACCTGAGGCCAGTCCAGTGTGAAGGAGGGCCCGTTCTCTCCCCGTAACCCTCGGGGACAGTTAGCTTTTCCATCCCCTCTGTCTCAAGGGCCTCATTCCCCGCGCCTGACTCTCCCCCGGCCTCGTCCAAGCACCTTCCCTCTGCCTGCAGGTCGGAAAGCCGGGGGCAGACTTGGGCACTGCATCAGGTTCCAGTGAGCCGCGTGCACTCAAGCTCCATGGTTTCCCCCTCCGGTCTACAAAGGGAATCACTGTATGATATGGGTCTCCCTCCGCGCTCGCAGTTAACAGGGATGTGTGGCTGGGGACAGAGGTGTTTTCACTTTTATTTATTTATTTATAAGTTTTATTAAAGTTCACCTCTTACCCACAGGCCTTGGGCTCCCTACAGAGAAACAAACAGCACAATCGAAGCAGCTGGTTTCTAAGCTGCCAAATTAAAATAGATGAAGAGGTAAGGAGGGGGGGAATAAAAACATTAAGCTCAGACTTCTGCACTCCCAAGTGTGTGGTGCCTTCTATCGTACTGCACACACAAAATCGACTCCCAATGTAATTAGACTAGTGCCACCGGGCAAGAAAAAAAAAATCCTCAAATTATTCAGACCCCCAGAGTTATTCTTCTGCAATTACTCAAGTAACTCAGAAAAGAGCCAAGTTTTTAGTATAAATTTGTTACCAGCATCTACATGCTTCCAGCAATTGCCAACACCCCACCTGCCCCAAACTGCAGAGTCAGGAGCTGGGCTGGGAACCAAACCCAAGCACCCTGCCTCCCACCCACTGCCTCTCACCCTCTGCCTCCACCTCTTCTCTAGCACGGTCTCACTGGGGCCTGGAGCCTATGCCCGCAGTCCTAACAGGCTGCTGGTCCCGTTACAAGGAGCTAGGGAGCTCTGCAGGCCCCCGCAGACAATGCGCTCCCTTTAGAATCAACAGTCTCAGCGGCACCATGTGCGGGCACACCCGTGGGGAGGGGTATCAGCTCTCTCTCTGCAGCGCCGAGCTTGGCTTGGCCATCCCATCCTCCCTCTCGCCCCAAGGACCCCGGAATGGCTCTCCCACCCTCCAGGGCGGAAATGAGCCATAGAGACAGAAGTGCCTCTCTCACTAAACTCGGAGGGGAGAGAAATAACCACTACTCGAGAGAGGTGCTTACTGGATTTCAGCAATGCTGCCAGAACTTCAGTGGCTGCCCTGGGGAAAGAGAAAGAAAAGTGGAAAAGTCAATGCGCAGCGGTCTCTCTGTCAGACCATGGATCCCACAGCCCGGGTGCTCGTGGCGGCCACCTAACAGCCCCATTATTAACCAGGTAGCAGGCGCTCTATTGATTCCACCGCCGGCCAGTAAAGAGGCGTAAATGCAGAAATCACACTGAGTGGGGTGTCCATCTTGCAAATGGGTCTCAGGAGTCCCCTCTGGGGCTGAAATCTCTTCCCCTCCTCCTCTGGCGTCCCACCTCCCACCAACTTCCAGACCCTGAGCTCCTCCTTTTTCTGCTGCTCATGCCCAGGGCTCCTGATTTATCCCTGCAAACGCTGGGGGCTCTGGGAAGTGGGTGGGAGGGCTGAGGCCTGCAGACCGAGGGAGGGAGGCTGGTTCCTCGGGGCGGAAAATAACGGTTCTGTCCTGCGTTCCACCCAGACCGTTTTCTTCCCTGGAGGACTGGCACAGCCTCTGCCCAGGCAACAGGCACACAGAGCGAGAGCGCCTTTGGCCCAGGCCTCAGTGATGTTTCGGTCCGTTCCCTGAGGCTGTGGAGGCCCACAAAGACCCAGTCTCGGAGCAGAAGAGAAGTCCCAGGCACTGAGGGCACCACGGTGTGATGCTGGAAGAGAGAGTTTGGGTTGTTGTTGTTTTTAAATAAGAGAGATTTTGCAGGACTCTAGTAACTTCTCCTCAAGGCCTGTTAACCAGATACGCTGCCACCCTGCCCCTGAGGGCTGCAGAGCGGGTCAGAGGCTGGGTCACCCTCCCCAGGTGGCCCACAGACACAGAGCAGAGCTGGGACCCCAGCCCCAGGAACCTCGCTTCCCTGTGCTTCCTCCCTGCCTATCTGTCTGCAGCGTCTCGCACTGGGCCTGCCCTGCCCGGCTGACGGGAGACAACTCTCTTTGCAATACATTATCAGATACTGAGCAACTGAGCCAGCAGAAAAAAAAAATGATAACAACGAATGAATAAGAACAAACTAAAATAAAGCAGAAACACAGCACTCGAGACACCGTTGCTTCCCGTAACCTCCAAGGTGCCCTGTGATGGCAACGGCCTGTGCCTCGCAGGCTGCAGTGCACACCCACAGCTGGACGACCCTCAGCCGCACAGGAGCGGTGGGTGCAGCCGCAGACGGCAGCCCAGAAGGTGAGGCTAGCTGTAGGGCACGGACTGCTTCATCGTCCTTCCCAACCATGCTTTCCTCTCCTCACCCCTCTCCGCCCTTTCAGCCCCACTCTCGTAACCCCACACGGTTGGGCAACAGAGGACTTGAGAAGGAACATGCCCAAGGTGCTGCTGGGAAGCCACGCCCCTGTGGAAAAGGTGAGTGCTCAGGTGTATGGGGGCTGGCTTGGGCTGGGGCAAAATGGAACCTGGTCAGTCGTCTGGGGGAAGGCAGAGGAGCCAGATTAAGTTCACCCAAGGGGTCAGCAGAGAAGAGGGGAAGCCACAGAGGCAAGAAAAGAAAGAATGGGGACGCTCCAGGCAAAGCCTGTCCCTGCTCACAGGGCAGGCCTGTGCGGGCGACCCTGCCTTTCTGCCGTGCCCGGCACCCTCTTCTGGGGAAGTCCAGCACTAGTCAGTCACGAGGTGAGAGCGTCGTGAGGGACGGGCCAGCGGTGGGGAGAGGCAGGCAGCAGGCAAGCCAGGCAGGGGGATCCGAGGTGACAAGGGCTCCGACCGAGAGACCAGGAGGAAGAAGGGGAGGGAAAGGGGTTGAAGGGAAGTCTGAGTCAAGCTATGCAAAGCCCGGGTCTCCCCCAGAGCAGCTCTGCACTTCCTGGGAGCTCAGTAGAAATGCGGACTCCCCTTCCTGTCCTTGCTGAATCAGCCTTCACTCCAACAGCTCACTCACAGGCACCTGAGGGTTTGAAAAGAATAGGTGTGCAGGTCGGCACCAATATGGCTTGGTTACTCTGACGCTGAGGGGGAGACTGAGGGCGACCCCCGGATCTCAGCCCTTCGGAAAGTACCTGATGGCACAACAAACATAAACCCAAACAGTGACACCGTGTGGCAGGGAACTCGGGGTAAGTGTCCTATCAGTCAAACGGGGAAAACTAATATAATACCTGCATGGCCAGTCAAGATGTCTCCCTCTCCAGCTCCTAACCGGGAGCTGCCCGGGGCACGGAGAGGGCAAAGAGGGAAGGAAGGAAGTGTTGAGGCTGTAGCTGAGGAGCCTGAAGAGTTCAGATTCTACTCTATAGGTAATGGAAAACCAACCTTTCTTTCTTTCTTTCTTTGATTTTTAATCAACAGGATGCATTGGCAAGGATGATGGACTAGTTACAGACGACACAGGAAGGCATTCGTCAGCGAGGGCCGGGCATGGTTTGCCAGGGTGGACAGGGGAAGAAAGCCACTAACGGAGCAAGGAGGGGAACTGGGGTATTCGGAAAAGATGCTGATTCTGATTCGGGATGTGCTGAGGTCAAGATGATGGGAATAAAGCCACACAGAACTCCCCAGGACGCTACTGGACTCAGAGTCGGAGACTCCAGAGTGGGGACTGTGTGTTCCCAGATCACTACAGGAGCAGGAGGCGCTGCAGCCCGGGGAGCAGCTGGTACCTGTGAGGAAACCCCATCGGGGCGGAGGGAGGGCTGGCCCAGGAAAGCTCCCACACCAGAGGGCGGGGAACCGGAGGGGTGAGAGGGTGCGGCCGGGGCAGTCAGTAGGAGGAGACCTGGGGGCCCGGGGGGATTTGTTTTGAAACGAATTGCTAGATTTGCTGGGCGGAGTTGTCTCCCAAGCTTCAGGCTGTGATCCCACAGTGGATTGCCAAATACATGTAACAGGCATTGACTAGCCTTGCTCAGGAAACAGAACAAGTGGGGACGGAACAGGATATATCAGGGCCGTCTCATGCAGCCGCGGTGGGCAGCAATCTGAGAAGCTTGTTTCCGTGTCCGGACACACAGATGTATGTGCGCCTTCTGGGAAAGTGATGTGTTCTCCTGGGGAAAAAAACAACCCTGTGAAGCTCCTGTTTCTTATTCGTGAGAAATGGGAAAAGACCTTACAGAGGAAAGCAACATTCAGGTTGCCAGCCTGGGAAACGATGATCTGAGAGGCTATGGCAATATTTTCAACTCTAAGTTGTCGCTTAAAAGACAAGTTTTGCCTTTAGTGCGCTTTAGTCATAGTGAGTGATTTTTAAATACCACCACTTTAAAATTCAAAAACTATGATTGTTTTTTGGAGAAGATAATTATTTTATATAACCAACAAAGGAGTAGGGTTTGGGGGTTGGGTTTTTTTTTTTGGTATATGCTTCTGTTTACTTCCCCCCTGTAATTTCTCTTCTTTATGTCCTTGATATCATAATGCATTGTAGTCTGCTTAAACACAATTTTTTAAAAAGACAAGTTTTGTATCTGTCTTAGGTAAGAGAGTGCACTGTGACTTTCAAGAGCGAGCCTATGTTTTTTAACTGTGTCACGCTCTCGGACTCTTGAGAATATGCTGACTCTTGATTGACACACACACAGAGCTATACCATGAAATCGTTCCTGACCCTCAAATTCAAGTGTGAACTCCTCACTATTGCATCCCCTTCAGCATCTTGTACCCTTGGTGGTGATAATTAAATAGTAATTTTTGCACTTGCCTCTCAGACCCCTGATGTAATTCTAATCCTCTTTAAGGAAGGGTCATATACCTCAGTAACCCTTGCAACACCCAGCACTGAAGCTTGGTGTGTGGTAGTAGTTCTCCACGGATGTTATCTTGACCAAAACTCCCCACACTCCCAAACGTGTGGGGTAGAGAGCAGTTTTCCCACATGATGGGCCAGTCTCTTTACTTGGATTCTCAGAAACATGGTAGGAAATAGGACTTTGAGCCTTTTACTTTAAAACCATGAAATGTTATTCCAACAAAACAGAAGGCCCTTCCCTGTTCTGAAAGGAGATGAATAGTCTGGGGAATCCGCTGAATGTTCGCAAGTGGCTGGCTCTGTGCCAAGCCCTTGCTTCCTCATTTCACATTTTTCCCAACAGCTCTGAGATCGCCCCCTTTTACTATGAAGATACTGAGATGATTGGGGAGATTGACCGACGTTCTCAGAGCAGATACGGAAGCCCAGATCTTCAGGTTCCAGGCGCGGTGCCGGTTCTACACCACAAAGACTTTCTTCTAAGAAACCAATTAAGAAAGAAAAATAGAGAACAGGAAAAGGTGAGGACACAGGTCATCTGAGAGTGCCCCTTGCTCCTGGGTCTAAGATGGGGCTTTGTCTTTGGTGAACTTTTGTAACTGAGTTAAGTCGATGGACCCAAAGTGGCCTTCGCCTGCCTCGATGTGTGCCCAGACAAGACCATCTGTCTCTGTGAGAGTCCCCCTCAGAGACTCGTGGAAGAGAAGGAGCTTCTAACCCTTCGGGGCCCATGTCGCCTTCTAAAGTAGCGGGGAGGACAGATGCAAAGTTGCCAACGCTACATATAAACAACTTTGGCAACGAGAAGAACGGCCAAGGCTCCCAGGGTGGCCCAAGAGCTGGACACATTCCGCGTGTGCAGATGGAAATCTTGATATCCTCCAATGCTCTCTAACGCCATGCCTCTGCACTGCTCTTCCCCGGCCTACCTCCGGCCGGGACGAACACGAGCTGCCAACACCTGATCCCGGGACAAAGTTTTCCCGGTAAAGATGGACAGAGTGGGCCACGTGTTGAGAGAGGTTGTATCTGTCAGCGCTCTGAGTCACAATCTTACGTGACAGCATCAGTTTTGTGGAGTGAAAGATTCTAGAAGGCACGGTCCATTTCAGGCAGCTCCTCCTCTGTGGTCGAACATTTCAGACACGGAGGAAAGAGACTGTATGTGACTGTTAGCTACATTCGGATTAAAAGATTGAATTGATAATAGTCAAATGACGCCATGAAACAACACCTCACTGGGCAGCATTCCTGGATATGAGAGCCTAAGAAACCGTCCCTCTACTCAGAGACACAGAGACGAAGAAGAGAGATGATCTG